AGAGACAGAGCAGACGATACAAGACTATTGATGCAGGTCAAGCCATCCAATGCAAAAATTCGCTGTAAAAGACGTTTTCTGCGCATGGGACGACGCCAATTTGATCGTCCAAATGTAAGACAGGATCCAAAGTGACCAGTATTAATAGGTATAGATTCCTGTGCTGAAAATGATATCAGATTTTGGCCATCATGACTAGATACATTGCTGCCCATGACGGTGCTAGTGTGAATTGAAGTTCCTGAGAGAGGTCCAGAGGAATTTTCGCTAAGTCCTTCAAGATTATCCAAATCTGAGTCTACGATTAAGACAAAGCAAAAAGGATAGCGAATTCGGCATCCACCTAAAAATAAAGACATAGCTAATCCGGGAGTGGGAATCAAAAGTATAAGAACACATCAAAGGCAAAATTACCAACAATAACTTCGACAAACTTAGGGGCAGGTTGGAACGGCTGCTGAAAGACGGAAGGTACAGAGGCTGAAGCCGCTGCTGCTGCGGCGACAGCTGCTATTGCAGCTGCAGCATTTTGAACGCCACCTCGGCGAGTATTAAAGCCTTCACAAAATGCGAGTGGAGCAGAACGGGTTGTGTAAGGTGGAGGAGGTTGAACTCCAATGCCAACAGAAGATTGCTTATTTGGAGTCGAAAAATGACTCCCTGAAACAGGGACCTGGACACCGGTAGGACCGGCACCATGAGGAACAGACCCGAGCTTATTTTCGTCTGAATCAAATACCAGAGGGTAAAACTGCAGCCATACGTCCAGTTCTTCGGCGATTTCATTAGGTTCCTTACGTGTTGTTGGAAATCCTATTAATTGAGCCGAAATACCGTAAGGAGCTAAAACGACTGAAAAACAAAGCATATTGACTTTAAACTGAAATCCAGATGATAAATAATGACACGTATTTACTGCACTACTTACCAGGGAGCTTGACTTGATTCCGTGCACAATAATTTAAGTGCCTTATCCCAATGCTCTGAACGCGAGGCAACTGCCGGATATCTAAACTTACACAAACAGTGCTTTCGCCATGAAGGAAAAATGAGAAGCTTGTGAAATATTGAACACTAAAAGGTTAACATGAAAAAGATTATACTTGTCTCGATTTGAGTTAACTTTATACGGCTGGACGAACCATTTCCCCAGACGGACGAATCCCTTACCAAGTAGACATCTAAAAATGCAAAAATGATGCAAGAATACCTGTCAACGACATTATGAAGGGCTTTAAAGAGTATGGTCCTTATTTCATATGATAAACCCTGCTTCCAATTTCCATGATCCTCTTCTCTGAGTTCGGGTTGAATGCATTTGCTGATGCTAGGTGCATCGCTGCTTCCATACCAAAAAACCCAGAGAGCTTTAGAAAATTTAGAAAATTCGCATGGATGCTGAAGATCATTGTTTTCCAATTTTACCCGGGCCCAGGCGCAGAGGAGACCTTGTTTCATACAAAGAGCATATGACTTTAAAATAGGGTCATCCATAAGTGATTTATGTGCAATATCTTCCTTCACGACGTATTTTCTGTATTCAATACGAGCAAAATCAGTCTAAAAGAAAAAAGATCGTGTTAGATATCTTTTAAATTTTATATAAATTAATTGTTTAAAATTACTAGTGCAAAAAGATTTGTATAACAATGCTCTAACGAGCCACAATGATTCATAGAAGAGGACATTTTGTATAACACGCCCTATACGGTCAGGAATAAAGCCCAAGGACATTCACATCGTGAAAATTCATATTGGTCGGCCATGCGAAGCGGCCTGGGCTATATCCCGCGCCTCAACAAAAAAATGAGCTAAAAGGAAATAGCTAA